TTTTTCTTTTTTTCACAATTTTTAATTATATAAAAATTTAATTACATGTCAAATCAATGTTTTTTTGCACTTCAGTTTCTTTGGAAACCTAGCTATGATAACGGGACACCCAGTTCATGTTGTTGTTGTTTTTTTTTAAATAAAATGTAAGTACTGAACATAATTCAGCTTAGATTATTAAATAAATCAGCATCTTATGTGTGCTCTGAAAACTTTTTATTTTCCCACAGTTCACTGTGCTTTTTTTTTAAGCTGGCTCACACGCCACTGCATATCATATATACCCAGTTTATTTCCCTCTGTGATTTGAGCCGGTTCTGACTCTGATTACGAGTCCTCTGCTTTGATCTGCTGCTGGGTCTAAAAATCCCTTCAAAGGCAAATCAAGGTCACACTTCTGCCTGCTGAGTGTTACAGTACAAACACACTCGTCTGTGTTTTACCATCACTTTTAACTGTGACTAAATGCATCAATAAAGTTTTTGTGCATTGTTCCTTGGTCTGGTTCCTTTCAGAGAACCAGCTGGCCTGATAGCACCCCTTTATGAGATGATCAACATCCCCAAGATGCTCCATAGATGGAAAAAAAGCCAAACACAGAAAAGTGTACACTTACAAGCCAGTGTGAGTTTCTGAGATATATGGGTCGTTTATTGCTGGACGTAGAAATTAAATTGATCTTCGTGTACCAAGACAACCTCACTACAACCTCTTCTTCACTTTCAGACTTAAAGAAAACCCAAAGTGTGCATGTGTCCAATCAGGCTGTGAAAACAGCAATGGGTTTTTTGGTGTGGGGTTTTCAAGGTTGAATAAAAAGATTATATCTGGGAAGGAAATCTTTGCACCCTATCGGCCAAAACTTCATCAGCTGTTTCTATATTCTTTAATCCCAGTAGACGTTCGGAGGAGATACTCCCCAGCACAGCTGATTATCTGGAGTCGAAGCTAGTGCCAGTTTATCATCGTCACTCAGCTGCCGGTTTGAGGCTAAAGGAGCGTCGACGTGCCAGAGTGGGCACATGCTAAATATGTTAGGCTCAAAGGCTTTGTGGAGGTCGGGGTTCCCTTACCCTCGATGGGAGGTCACAACATCTGTCTCGGCTGGTCCAGGCCAAGTTGCAGACAATGTCGAACATCTGGAGCTGGAACTGTGGAGAAGGGGGGGAGAAAAAAACAAAAACATGAATATGGCGTAGTGGTACATGTGTCTGTGATACACCCTCCACCGCTCCCAGAGGACATGCAGAAAAACAGCAGAGAATGAGGCACTGCCGAGTCCCATCAGCCCCGGGGAGAAAGGCTCGCATTACAACCCTGCTGATTGATTTACATGTGGCGCCATGTAAAACTCATTTCACTGTCTGTTTGAATTATCTACAACCTCTCTGTACCCCCCCCCCCCCCTCAAAAAAAACCTTTTAATTAATTACAAAATGTTCAAAATGCTGTGGATTGTGTTCAGTTCACTCTCTGCTCATTAAAGTTTGTTCAGTAGTCAAACTAAATGTACAGCAATGAATAAGAATACTGCTGACAGCAGTGCTACCCCTCAGCCTCCTAGCAGACACACCTCAGGTATCAATTTCAAAATCCTACATCGTTATCAAATCCACAAGATTCTCAGAAAACTGAGATTCAAACGATTTTTGGTAGCTGCACTGATTGTGTCAATTTGAAAATATACGTGACTACCTGCTCCAGTTATCACATTCACAAATGTAGGGGTGATGACAATACCCCACCAGCCTTTTACAGCTGAGGTAAAAAGCTGCACTGTTTGTTTTGCGCTGATAAAGTCAGCAGCAGCTAACATTTTATAATTGTGCTACTTCATTTTTCTCCACCTCAGCTTTCACCTTGGTTCTTGATTTTTGTCTGTGATTCACCAAGATAACACAAATCTACCAGGCTGAATTTCATAGAACGTGTTGGTAGGGTGGTTGCCTCACAGCAATAAGGTCCTGAGTTCAATTCCGCAATCAGCCTGGGATCTTTCTGTGTGGAGTTTGCATGTCCTCCCCGTGTTTGCGTGGGTCCTCCGGCTTCCTCCCGCCGTCCAAAGACTTGCACTTAGTGGGGATAGGTTAATTGGAAACTCTAAATTGCCCAAAGGTGTGAATGTGGGAGTGAATGTGAGTGCGAATGGTTGTCTTTGTCTATGTGTTAGCCCTGCAACAGACTGGCAGCCTGTCCAGGGAGTAACCTGCCTCTCGCCCTAAAACAGCTGGGATAGGCTCCAGCACCCCTCACGACCCTGAATAGGATAAGCGGAAGCGAATGGATGGATAGTGAATGGAGGGTTGGGTGTCGGAACTAGTAAATAAACCCCAGTTTTAAGTTTTAGTTTTGACAGAAATTTTTTATTTGTTATTTTGTTTTTTTTGCCAGTTTAGTGAGAATTCAACACTGTACAATGCGAACTTGTGAGGCTGCTGAACAAAGCATCTTTAAACAGAGAGTTCAAACACAGACACAGACATCAGCATGATGGTGAATGTAGTGCTGTAGAGAACTGACACTTACGTGGAAGCCTCACTTCCTGTTTTTTGTAACTCTCTGATGTAACGAGTCTTCTCGACAGCTAGTTCAGTTAGCCACGTATTGCTAAACTCTTCTGTCACCCAGTTTATAAGCTGTGCACCCTGATTGTTTAATATCTAACTGTTGGTAACTGATTTAGAGTGGAAGGCATGCATCAACTGAAGAAACCTAACAAGGTGATTTTGCATGTGAAGTATGTGAGCAGTGAGGGAAAGCAGGCTGCAAACAAAGGCAGTTTTTTTTTGTCTGCTGGCGTGTTAGAAAAGTCTTACTGTATCACCCAACCCTACTTTAAAAGTAGGACCAGAAGATGCTAAAGATCAACAAACTCTTATTGATTACCTGGATTATATAAAGAAACAGATGAAATCTGTGTCAATTTAATTTGTTTTGAAATGTGTGTACTATTTGCAGTCAAAGTAAAATAGAGATAAAATCATTTGTGTCGGTAGATAACGTCAGTCTCCTGTTTGTGTGAACGCAGAGTTCACTTACAGTTGCCGATTCTCCTTTGGAGCCGATGGATTTGGACATCTTGCCCAGGACCTGGTAGCCGTCACTGGACATGTTTCCAGCGGCCTTGATCGGCTTCTCCGCCACTACCTGGCAGTCGATGTTGAGCTGGACGTTGGTGGGTGAAACCAGGATGTGCAGCTTCAGACAGAAAGAGAAAGGAAGGAGAGATTTTATTGGCTCATTCTTTGTTCTACGACCATGTGCCATGTCTGGTTTTCATCCTCGCAGCCTGCACATTATTAGGTTTTGCCGAGGCCATGGCGGAGGCTGCGGGTGAACAGGCTCGATCATGCAGAAGTATACGAGCGCTCACATGGAGGGAAAACAGCACTTCTCCTCTGTCCATTCAGAAAGAGGGGATTCTCCATCATGTTCTAAAGACATCCCTGCAGTGCTTTGGATTTTGACCTTTTAAACTCTTTCTTGTTACTGCCCTGCAAATATGAGTATTTCACAAGGAAACATCCGTTTTCCATTTTCCATGTCCTTGCGGGATCATGTTTAAAGATGCCAAATAAAAGGAAACCCTTTAACTTTTATCAATGCTGCTTCCATTTTCCTCGTGACATGCCAAGAATGAGAATGTGTTGAAACTCCCAAATATTAAACCAAATATTTACCACTTACATTTAAAACGTCCCATGTGTTTATACTACAGGTTTACTTTGCACAGGAAGTCTATGGAACTTTTGGATAAACCACCATCTTAACCACCACCACCACCGTCCTCTCATTTTAAATAGTTCCAACCTATTTACAAGATTATTATTGAACTATTAAACTCTGTTATTAAACCTTTTTTACCGTGTCCTGACTCGAGGGCAGACGAGTCATCCTGCTAAACTGAGCAAACTGGAGGGCTCCTCGCTGAAGCTGCACTCTGGTAGTCAGAGGTGACGTTAAAGCAAAAGCCTTCAATAATTACACCTAATCCACTTAATTACAAGCATCTACATAAAACTCAGCTGCTAATGAGCTCCTCAGCATTTGGTTAAGTGCAGCTGCGTAGAATGTGTCTGAAAGATCAATGTCAGTCTGAGTTTTGTGCGGTTCTGGCCAACACCAGGGGAATAATGTGAAATCAAACCAAAAACCATTAGACCCAAGGTGCGAATGTGCCTTTAGGCTCCGATGTTCTAACAGCTTTTTAAAAAATTGTAAAACATTTATTGTTTCACTTCAACGCGACACCTAAATATTTCTGACATTCATGCTACATTTTCTTACTTTTTGAAGCTATTAAACAGATTATTTTGAATTAAGTTGAACTATTGTGGGATAATTAATAACCACAAGGAAAACGGCTCTCTCAGCTTTCATCTGTCCAAACACTGCAAGCGTTTCATTCAGTAACTTTTTGCTTTTCTGATAAATACCCACCACTGGCATCATTATTTATACCAGTGTACTGTGAAGTCACAGGTTTGCAGAGTTAAAGTTGTTCACTGTAAACCAGAGAATATTTAAAGGTACGCGTCGGTGCAGACGCAGGTCCAGAGACTTGTGAACAAATCGTTTTATCTGCTCAAAGATTCCTCCATCTAATTGAAATATTCCAGATTCAGCTGGAAATGCTCATCGAGAGGCCAAATCTACCCTGAATTCTTTCCTTCTCTCTCACCGATGGACTTCGTACAACTCCAAACAGTAAAATAACTGCGGCAGCTCCGCCGTACACACAACACCACAATTTGCATTTCTCCTCAGTCACGTCACCCTCGCCGCATCGTGTCGTCATTTTGTGGTGGAGCATCAGCGCCGCCTTTGCAGCGGCTTTTCCTCGAAGCGAGTCGGGCTGCATGGAGGGAAAACGTGACCTCTACAAAGCCACAGAGTGGCGGCAGCGAGGGCGGCTCGCTGCTTGTGGTCAGTCATGTTTAACAGAACGCAGTAGCACCGAGGTGTCCAAGAAACACTTCATGGAGGGAAACGCAGTGTTTGAGACATTTATCTGCTTTTCATGAAGTCAGCAGGTACCATTAAAGCTTCAGCATGTCAACGCTTTAACTGGACTCGCTCTTCTGTTAAATTTAAAGGATTTTAAAAGCCAGTAAGAGCACTGATATGATCACACTGAAGCTGCCAGTACTGAAACATGAACAGCTTTGTGCCAAAAGTGAGAGCATACAGTATTTCATTCTCTTCAGGCTGGAAAAATCCTCAGAGATTCAGAGGAAAGTCTGATACATGGCTGTAAAACACGAGCTGATGTATTGTCCTTGTGTGGATGCTGTTGTGGTTAATATCAGCCAAAATAAAGGCGCTGCTGAAGACGGGACTTCATGATTGAAACTGAAGCCTTAATTAACCCTGTACACGCCACTCTGTAGAAACATGCGAGTGTATCTTATTATGATGTGATCTATGAATGTTTTTGTTCATCTTTCTAAACATTAAACGTGTGCAATCTTTGTTTGGAAAGCATCTATATCATTAGTTTTATGGGTTTCTTTGAAGAGATTTGTCTTCAGGAGGTGCAGAGAGTAACAGACAATCCAGCAACCTTCCTTATTCTTTACAAAATACTCAAAGTTTGGTAACAGCAGTAAATCGTAGCAACAACAAGTCATGAAACCAGAGTGTATGACTAAATGCTCTTCTTCCCTCCTTTACTTACGATGAAAAATGGACCAATTACAGCTGCCAGTTTAGAAGCGCCTCTGCCATTGTTGGAAAGCCCCTTAAACCATTCATACCAAAGTCTGGATGTAACGTTTGAGCTCCAGGCTGTTACGTGACAATGTTTACACGAGCAGAGATGAAAGCGTGTGCCGAGGCCGTACACGCCCTCGCTCTGTTCATCTGACCTCAGGTCAGCAGGACAAGTTCCACATTTATGTGCCGTCGCTGGAGTTGAATTTATTTCGACAGCACGAGGCACACAGGGACACTGAAGCCTGTCCTTATAAGGCTTTGAACAGCTGGGAATGTGATCCCTGGTAGTAAAGGGGTGAGTTCAGGAGTGTCCCTATACAAATCACTTTACTAACAACATCCTCTGTGGATGTGCTCAGTAAAGCTAGTACTCAACTTTAGTGGGACAAAGCTCTCCGCTCTCCGAGACAAAACTGCTTCTTCCATCAGTCTGTAAACATGCTCATTTCTGCTGTTTGCATCGAACATTTTAACATTAATGTCTGTAGGAACTGACTTAGTGTTGGAGCCTGCCTCAAGTGGCCATTAGAGGAACTGCAGTTTGAAGAACAGCTCAGGTCCAGAGAGCTGAAAGCTGAGTTAATAAGCTGACTAATATTGGGCGAGTTAAAGCTGATATGTTGAAGTGAAGATGAAAAATAAGGCGTCGTTCACTTCACGAACCTCAATAAAGTTCAGTGAGTACACAGTTTGATCGTTTTTCTTCTCCAGTCTTCTTTTTCTGCCATCATCCTGCTCATGGATGGTCCTACATTACTTCATCCCTTTCTTCTGGTCACGACTTCAGCCTCGAGAACAGTAAACTGACATTTCCCTCCTCTGCTGAGGCAACATTCACTTCTTTGGAAAGTAGAAATGAGGTTTGTGCACATGTGCAGTTTCAAGATAGCTGAGATTCATAAAAAAAACCCCAAACATGTCAGGCATAGTATAAAGAATATTTATGCGCTTTCCTTCCCTGAATTCAGTTTTATCCATCTGGCTCCAGCTGTATAATCTCTGAGATGTTTCTATTAGTCAGAGCATCTTTATTTCCCGTCTTTTCGCGTCTTCCTGTCAGAGCTACAGCTACTGGCTGGCCCGTTAATCGATTTCTCTGCAGTTACTTGGCACAGATCGTCCGATGATGGCTTGTTTATTCGCTTATGCAAACGTTGTTTGGGCCCGTCAGGGGCAGCGGTGCTATAAACCCTTAAGGTATCTGCAATAAATCTGACGTTTTCATGGATCTCTGCTGTTAAACACATCTGAGGAAAGATTTCAGGGATGCTTCCAGTGCTGAGCAAGTTGGTTGGTAAAGCGCTGAGAGGGGAAAAGGATTAGTGGAGTCTAAGCGTGGTGATGTGGCCGACGTCTTTTACTGACAACAGCTCAGTAAATCTGGTTCAGCAACAGCTGCGCTCAGGCTAAAGCACAATTTTAAATCAACTCCTTTCTCTGACAAGCTTTTAAATCTTAAAGTTTCTTCAGTTCAGCTGGTTTTAATTGCTGCTGCTGGAGAGATCTAAAAGCCATTGTGTTGTCCATGTGTCCACCACACAGTAGAGCAGCGTAGCCCCGAGCTAAAATTGACCTCTGACCGCTTCAAAGACGAAGAATTTCCCCTCAAGATCCAGTTCTGCATGTTTTAAGGGTTTTATCACACTAAGCACATGTGGGACTCTGACTCAGTGAATCTGCATTTTAAAAGACATTATTTTTATGCCTTCTGTTAAAGAAAAGCTGACTTAAAAGTCCAGGATACAGTCCACTTGTATCCCAGCACCAAACAACTTTTCAACAGAGGTTAAAGGTCACCATACAATCATGATAAAGTTGTGGCACACTCATTATCACCATTACCATGATCAACTGATTCATTCTAATTAACTCTAATTCTAATTAAAGACTTTTTTGTCTTGGTTTGGGTAAATAGTGCAGTTCGATCACATGAACATCAGTAACCAATAGGAGTGCTCTCTCCATGCTCTCAGGCAGCACCGTGTCCGGTCGAGGCGCCTTCCCTTTTTCCCTTTTGTTTTCTTTGCCAGATCAAAGCCATGAGCTCCTTCTGTTTCTGCTTCGTTTGTCAATTGTTTTTCTTCATGTAAATTTCCACAGAGCATGATGGGAAAAAAAATCTCAAAAGGAATCTGACCGTAGCATTGCAAGCAGTGGCCCTGCATGATCGCTGGCCTCCCCAAAAACCAAACTCTGACTCATCTTTAGATCTGAGACGGTGCCAGACTCCAGTCTTTCCAAACTGGCTCCAGTGTGCTGCAGGCATGAGAAGCATCCTGAAGTCAAGCTGTGTTTTCGCCATGTCTGAGCTCCAATTACTGATCACACAAGAAGAGCTTAGCACCGGCACTGTGGTGATGGGAAACCTTTATATTTCATCAAAATTCTGAGACTTGCACCAATGACAGGGGAGGTAAAGACATCTCAACTTTGTGGCAAGTTGAAGACTCACCAAATACCATAAAGGAATGGCATTTGTGTCA